GGCTGGCAGTAGGTTTCAACGACTGAGAGGCACGTCTTGGGTCAAATTTCGACGAAGGGTCTTTTTTTTTTCGAAGGGCTAGAGCAGGTGAGGGAAAGCTCGACTGGGATTAAAAATTGTAGGATCTACCGCGATACTGATCTGTGTGAATGGGTACTTAAACTCGTAATCTGAGCTTAAAATCCGTCACCGAGCTATCTTTCGCGATCATTTTTCGCTTTAGAATTGGCGAATGTTGACGGAAATGTTTTATTGCAAAGACGGACATGTAGCAGTTTGGATTAAATGTTCGCAAAGACTTCTTAATGCTCATTTTTTGTTTATCTCACAGACATCTTTGTGATGCAGTAATCTTACCGAATAAACACAATTTGATTAGTTTGCTCCCAAAAAACGGCTTAATTGTAGCAACTGCCTCCATGTATCATGTTCATACCCATAAGATTGGCTTTTTTTACGGACTGTTAGGTTTTGCAACCACAGGAAAATTTTCACGGCATAAATGCTTCGCTAGAAAGAAGACTGGTCAAATTAGTTGATATAATGGTTTACTTTCAAAACAAAGATGTTGAGAAGCTTTTTGCATCATCGCCTTTCGATATGAGCCTACTGTAATTGCAGTAACAGTATCTGCCATAGATACGAAACCGTATACATCTTTTGCTGTCTCTTGACTGGATAAGCAATTTATTGATATACATTTATCTACTATATCTCAAAACTAAGTATTAAGACCATATTTTAACGGTCGTAATTAGCATTCTGGATACCCCAGCAAAGAAATTTGCTTATTTCTCGTACTTTTTCTTAATAAAAAACGTGAAAACACGTTTCTCTTCATGCTTTTTTTTACTTTCGAGCGATCTCTTTGTCCTTATACAACCTTACTATAATATAAAAAGTTACCTGCTTTATCTCATCGGCACTTACAGAGAATTTCATCAAGCGGGGAGACGCTGAAATGAAATTAGGGCGTGGCATAAGCAAGGCCAAACCACGCCCCTTTTCATTCATTCATGTGGAAAGTTTGTTAGAGGGTTTTCTCAAGAAGAATTTTTTAGCTTTTGGGATATTTAAAGTCATCATGTCACATGAAATTGATGTCTATTTTTTTAAAGTTCCAAAACCACCCTTAGGGGGCCCTGGGGAGAATAGACTCCATCCGTTACTTTAACATATATGTTTCTGTCAGAAAGAG